AAAGTGCAAAATCCTTGTGTTACAACCTTTATGTAAGTATTCCAGTCCTTGAGCAATGCCTACAGCAATTTCATACAAATTCTTAATATCAAGCCGATAATTTTCCTCTGAAGATCCTTGATTATAAATGAACTTATCCAGTGATCCATTAGGCATGAATTCATAAATCAAAGCTCTTTTTGACCTCTGGTAACAAAACCCCAATAGAGTGACTATATTGACATGTGATGTTCTGCTAATGCTAGCAACTTCATTGATGAATTCCTGTCCATCCCCTTTGGATTTCTTAAGTACTTTTACTGCCACAACACGGCCATCAAGTAATGTCCCTTTGTATACACTGCCGTATCCTCCTTGACCCAAATTTTCTGAGAATGAATTGGTGATTTTCTTGATGTCTGAATATGAAAATCTCTTGGGAGCAAGAGAGTTACCAAACTTAAGAATGAATGCCTCAACCCGTTCATGGTCCATTTTTGTTTTCCTAATTTGGCCAAAGTAAAGAGTCTTCAAACCTGATGATAATTCTTCTTTAAACTTGAAGAGAAGCACTACAAAAGAGATTGCTACAGCTACAGCTACAGCTGCAGGTACTGCCACTCCTAATTAATAGAGATATTGAATCTGCTAATTTAGAAAAGGATATAAGATGTAAGCTAAATAAATGTTTCAAAAATGAGATTAGCGTGGTACCTAGGATTAGTTTAAACTTCGAGTTGGATGACCTATTACCTGCAACAAAAGGAGAAGAGATAGTGTGATCAGGTTCTGCTTGGATGACATCATATTTTACTTTACTGGAGATTTTATATGATAGAAGAATTTCAAAATCCTTTTCTAAACTACCGTTTTTGTGAACAACTAACAAAATAAATTGGCAGAAAAAGGAGGGGGAAACAACATTCAGCCTGAAAACTGACTAACCAAACCCCATCATTGAATTTGAACTTTGGTTCTAATAAAGCTAATAAAGCTTCAAAGAATAATCAGCGCATGGAACAGAATGGAATCTTTGAACAATCAATGCATGGAACAAAATAGAAAGAACACAAATGACTCAACAACCATTGGAGATGTAATGCGTTTGGAAAGAACTCGAATTGAGTCAAAAGGCACAAGAGAAAAAATTAGCAATTAAATAGCTGTTGGAGATTTTGTTCCTTTGGAAAATAATGTCCTTCCTTATTCTTTTTATATTTGTAATTACTTTCATACTCAAATAAAGCCATGATGAATTCTGTAAATATATTATAATTAAATAACAGAAACTCTTATTAATAAAAATTAACAAATCTAATATGCAGACGATGAAAGAAATTCAGCATAAAAAAACAGAAAGATTGTGTGTTTTCTTCTATAAGAGTACCTTGAAATAAAGGTACTTACCTGGCTTATTGGCTGCTGCTGGAGGGGAAATGGTAGCAGGCATGTTAGCAGGCAGGGGAGGGCATTCTGCAAGTGAAGTACTTGATCCCAGACAGTAGCAAACCGTTTGATTGTCAAAGCCAATGCCACACTTTCCCTTGGAATCTAGGCACTTCTGACACGCTTTGTCATCCACCTTCAACTCAACTTCAAATCCATTTTTTAAGGCTTGTTCGATGACTTCGATCCC